CCTTCGCTAAATGTTCGAATGCAGAGATTTTATGCTTGTTCTGTTTTCAGATGTCAAAATTACATCGGTATTGCTGTAATTGGATAGTTAAAAGTTGTAAAAATAACAATAATTTATCGTCGCTTGTAATTTTGCAATCGTTGAAGAATAGAAATCTAAAAAAATATGAGAACAACGTAATTATTATTCTATTATAGATACAATATTCGATATTCAATACCATTTTTTAAATATTTTATTCTTTATCAATTGTATATTGACATGACATGACATAATGGGGCCTAAACCACCCCATGATATCTTCTCTAAGCGGATATAGGGCAAAGTGGATATAGGACATGTTATAATTTTTCCACATAAAATACAGATTGATACCTATTTGTCTAATGAAGGCATAATTTTACTTATGATTTTGAAATAACTAGTTAACATATTAAATTTAAGTTATTGCAAAACAAAAAATAAACTTTTTACACACTCATTTATGTTAAAGTTTCTATAGTGGTATTTTTACCAAATGGTAGAGTAAAGCTATTTCATCATATAAAAGCAAAAAATGAATGTCTTCAAGTAACGAAGCAAACGTACAAGTACCAGTAGATGGGTTCCTTAATGGCTTTGTACAGAGCTTAAGGTTTGCTTTCTCCATAAAACGAGAGCCCATATAGTGAACATTGTTGCTGAAATGTTAAAATCATACGACACCTTTATGTTTTGCCTTAAACATAATGTTACCCTGCATTTACATGGCTATATTAAGTGAACTATCTATACTGTGCCGCCATCTCAGACGGACAAGAAAGCGTTTAATCAATTCTGAAATAAAACGAATAATTTAGTAATCAAATCTAACATAGCATCGGCAATCAAAATAACAACAAAGTGGAAAAATAAAACGTAACGTCATAAAAATTAATATCGTGAGATAACTGCTTCGTGCAGATAGAAACTAAAAATCAAATCAAGTTCAATTATAAATTATAACAAATGGAAGCTCAACCGATGTATACTATAAACGCTTCTGTAATTATCGCGGGGAGAAAAAGCATGTCGTATCGGTGTAATCGTTACGGCATCCTTAGAATATTATATCTAAGAAATGGTATCAAATTTGTACCTCCAAATAAAAAAATCAGATTCATTTTGAAACCAATTAATCGTAGTTTGAAATGATGTGATAAATATTTTCTTTTTAAATATGGAGGATATTATATTATATAAAATAAATACAATATTTATGTATTGCGGGAAAGATTACTCAATAGGTATATAATGTATATATAATACTGCTTTATATTTACTTATAGAATAAATTTAAATTTATCTTATTTTCTGTTATTTTTGTCGCATAAAACGTTTAGATTTTATATTGTATAGCGTTTAATAGGTACATTCTTAATATAGTACGTAAAATTTTAACAGAAAATCTTGTACCTAATATTAAATGAGCAATTCTTGTATATACGAGTATACATAACTTTGTTCTTAATCTCGGAAACGGCTCTAACGATTTGGATCAAATTTTGATAAGGTTTTGCTTTTATGAAAAAAACTTGTGTCTTTTTTGAAAAAAAACCCCGCTCTTTTCACAAAACTTTTTTTTTACTGACTCTCATGCGACACTATCATATAGCGCATTTCATTATATTTGACGACGAGATTTATATATTTGACGACACGTTTGGCTCAGTTTTTAGTGACCCTACTTGCAGTGCCAGCGGTCGCGGGTTCGAGTTCCGCTGAGCGCAAATATTTGTGTGATGAGCACGAATGTTTGTACCCCAGTCATGGGTGTTTATATTTATAATATGTATGTATTTAAAATTTTTATATGTGTAGTGTATCAACTATCTGGTATCCATAACACAAGCCGCGTAGCTTACTATGGAACTAGATGGCGCTGTGTGTTAATGTCCCAACATATTTTTTTATTTATTATTTTTTGTGGTACTTGCATTGTCGCCAATGGATGATAACCTACTGATCGAGCTCTAACACCGACGTCCGGTCGCCTAGGTACTTTATTATAAAATGTTTAGTATAATTTCTAAGCAATTTCACACTCTATGTTCATAAAATGATATTTCACCACATGTCTTTGCTATAATCAATTATAAAACTATAACAACATTAGCATGGAAATTAATTGTGAATTTTCATGGGATTTTCTTGTAAAAAGCGTACAACGGTAAATATTTGTAGCCTATGTTTTATATAGCGTGTTTTCCCACCGTTGTGATTTGTCTCGGTTCTTGAACGATATACTTCTACCGGATAATTGCTACGTTTTAGCGAGATGGTTAACTTGTTAATATAAATCATAGGTTTAAATCATGGTGTTGTAAATCAATTAGCTAGTACTCGTATTTCATTTACGCGCCACGTTACGTTTGCTTATTTTATTGTTTGGAATAAATGTACATAGCGTTATCGTTATCTTATCAAAGATCTGTATATTTCTTTTTCTAGATACCTATATGTAAGCTTCTTAAGCATTTTTTTTAATATACTATCTTTTTCTTTCATCATATCTTATATATAAAATTTCCATATCACAATGTTTGTTACCGTACTCCTCCGAAACCGATTTTTACCAATACGGCTATACCGATTTTTACCAAATTTTATATGCGTAATCAGTAGGTCTGAGAATCGGCTACTATCTATTTTTCATACCCCTAAGTGATAAGGATAAGGGTGGTCCTCCCAGACCCCACCCCAGGGACGAACCCGAGCGGAGCGAGGGTGAGTCGCTAGTAATATATAAAGTTCCATTATAGTTGTTTTTTTAGATTATTTAGAATATGTTGATTTATCCTATTTTTAGGCAGCTCCGGGGAGTAAAATGGGTTATGTTTAATTATTTATTAGTATATTGCTTTAAGGTAAAAAAGAGAGACATGGGATGTATTTAAGAAAAAGCTTAAAAAACTTGTAACGCTTTTTATTATAATTTATAGAAGTGTATAAATATTTTTGACCAATATTATATTTGCATTTATTTATATGTGGAACAAAATAAATAGTTTATAATCGCTGTTTCTAATTCAAGGTGCCTTCACTAACCTTAGGTAAGAATTTGAAGGTTCGAAGATTTTATACGAATAATTATATACGTAAAATCGCTCACGATTTTCTTTTACGATTCCTTTCAAATTGATCATTTGGTAATTAAACACTTTAAAATTTAAATTTAGGTTTTACTATAACCTATAGTTTGCCGTGTCTTTACTTATCTATTAATAATTTTTATTCGATACTTGCAAATGAATTTTGAGATTCAAATTAATAATCAATTATATTGTCAACCTACAAAAAACTAAAATTAATTTGCCGTACTATTTTTTTATTTTATTTTAATCTAAAATCGTTATATTTAACTCATTTTTTATTTAATGAATGATATACAGTCCATGATTTTTAATGAAATAGTAATTTAAAAGTGTTCTAGCATATAGTTTTTACACAAAACAGATATGTAAATGATATACTGGGTTAAAATTCAGAAATTTCTGAACATGTTGCCATAATTTTTAACAAAACTATTCAACAAAAATCCTACACACCGACATATATGGCAAGTTCCGTCTATCTATAATCTATATGATCTTAGCCTCGTATCCATGCAATAGTAGTTGATTAGTAGTCAATTAAGGCTCCACATAACAGCATCAATAAAAGTATTCGGTGATTCGAAGTATTTTGTTATAATCAATTTCTGACGTCGGCGTCCGTTTGTGGCACAACAAAATGGAGATTTTATTAGCGTACCGAATTTAGTGAGGTCGATGACGATCGGTAAGCGATTTTTACACATGCTCGTGTTTAGGGTACATGAGAGTTTTGATATCGGTTCTACAGCTGGTTTTGCTTGGGCTAATGAATAGATTTGAAAATTAATTTTGGACTTTGGGCGACACAAAAATTTCTGAAAGTCACCAAAACTTTAAATTATCAAATTAAAAAAATTAGAGATCATATATGTAAATAGGTATATAGACTATATATATTTCTAGGTATGCTATTAAATATTTTATTTATTTATATTTTAATTGCAATTAAATTCTTAAAAAAAAAACATTAAATTAGAATACGCATTTCGTGCATAAACCAATTTGAAATTCTCTACATTTCATTAAAAGAACATAACGAACTTTTATAACAGCCGAAAATCGGTCACGTCATAACACTTGGCGTACAATTAATACGGAACCCTCAGTATAACCGCGGTTGCTTCTCGGGCGTGTCGAAAGGCCACCATAAGAAGCCGAAAGGCAGGTCATTTTATAGTTTATAATTACATGTGATTGCCGCCGTGACTCGGTTCCCCGCTACAATGCCGCTGTTGCAATGTTTATTTTGTTTTTATCCACGTTTTTACAGGTTTTAAAATTTATATATCAATATAAAAAGAATTACGTTTTATCTTAAGTGTTAAAGCAATTTTCTATTTGAAACTTTTTGGTAGCGACTTTGTATTTTGTCTCTGGACGGTTTATCTAAACGATCGATTGCTAAATATTATGAACTAACGATTACTCTCGCTTCGCTCAGGTTTGTCCTTAGGTACATTTTGACGCTTAGTATGGAATAGTTTTTTTTTCGTGATTTTTTCCGATGTTTTAATATTTATTCTGCTATTCGGGGCGGAGTCAAATCCAAAAAATCAAAGATCTTAAGAATCGGTCCTGCCGTTCTCGAGTTATACCTAAGTGTTGTAACAAACCCGACTTTGTTTTTAAATATATGTACATGTTATGTACATATAGGTTATTGTGAGTAAATAATTTCAACAAAAAATACAACTTTTTATATAATATCTACGAAATAATTTTGATATAAAATGTAATTTACATTCCCATTTTAAAAACAGATGTAATTACAACTTGTAGCTATGATGTAAAATCAAAACCTAATTAAATAAGTCTAATGAGCCTAATCGTATTGAATATGCAAAAGGAAGTTGCCTTTTACATAAATAGGTATAAATATAACCTTACCTTAGTTTTGCTACCGCCAATAGAACCAGGTCTTATCGACCCAGTCTCGTAGAATCTGGTTAGAATCTTCGACACACATCCGTGTGATACGAGTAATTGTCTACTGATATCACACGGACGTACTCCCAATATGGCAAGTTCGACGATTCGTTTCCGTACAACGTCAGGAAGGGGCCGGCCGTTCACAAACACGCCTCCTAGTTGATTCACGCCTGCTTGACCTGAAAGAGACATTCCTTATGAAGATGTAGCTAAAAAAATGTGCATTTTTCCCCATCGAATAAGGGTTGTTATCATTAGAATCTCGCTAATTTAAGTTTGCCATTTATGTTACAATTTTATATGAAGAAGAAGTCTTGAGTGATAGTTATCGTTTTGTTAGGAAGCCCCTTTTGAAAATTTATTATTTTTATAAACATTATGATATATTTATGTAGATAATAAATTCAATTCTTCTTTTTAATTAAAAAAAAATGTATTCAGATATTTTTAAGTCTTTAGCGAAACATATTGTATATTTCATCTTGTTAAATAGTTTGAATAAGTTATTATAAACAAACTAACTTTTCAGGCAGCAGGATCATTATTATAATTTACTTTCATTAGCAGGACGATATAATCCTGTCAATCGAAACAAAGGTCCATTGAGTTATTTCGCAGTACACCTGTCTCATTTGGACTAATATTTATTTGATTGCCAAAAGCAAAGGTTACCTTCCTACCTGGTCGCCAATTATGAAAAACGTTACAGAAAGATGGGGAGATAGCGGTAACTTTAAAATGGTTCTTTGTTTCTAATTTTATCGTTATAGGTCTTTTTGCTGTTTTTTTATAAAACTTAAAAACATAAAAATACTTAAACTTAAATTTTCTTTTTATAAAATATGTCCGGTTGGCCTGAAATGTCTATCTGTTTATAAGCTTAGTTGATTTAAGCTATGTTATTAGATACATTTTTGACAACCGAAAAAATTTATATTTTATGTACCTATACTTTTATTTGTAGGTTATGGATTCGTTCGGCATTTAACAAAATTTTGGCTTTGAGAGTGTGTTATATAGAAAGTTCAAAGTTTATTTTTAAACTAAATAGATAGGTAGACAAAAGCTTAAATCCTTTTACCGCTACCGTTAAGACCGTTGTAAAACAATAAAACGAAGCGCTATTTATGACTTTAATATCATAAAATTAGAGTTCTAATTTGTTCGCAGCAATTTATATTTATTGCGGCATCTTTTACCCACCGTCACTATTTCACGGTTATTGTCATACAGAATCGACGCGTCGATATGAACGGTTGCAAATTGCTTTCTTTAGTTTACGATTGTTCTTCTCTTAAAAACTTGGTTACGCTTCCTTCGTAAATAACTTGAAGGTAATTTGTCAAAGTCTTAAATTCAACTGCCCGCTTTTACAAAAAGGTAGCAACTTCATTACTTTTGTTTTTTACAGCTGTTATAAAAACATTATGGATTACAGTATGTCGTATTTAAATCCTCAAAACGTTTTGAAACAATTTTTTGACAATACATATACCTACATTTCAGTATATTATCTATCCTATCGCTTTAAAGATGAAATTCGGGAATATCACAATAAGGCAGTGAGCAGAAGAAAATATTAATATGAATATATAAAATTCCCGTGTCATGATGTTGGTTCGCGATATACTCTGAAACTACTCCATCCATCCAATCTTAACGTATTTTTTTCAAAATGTGTAATTTGTTCTAACTTAAAAGATAGGATAGTTTTCATCCCGATTATTTCTTTTTATTGCAAAATTAACGATTTTCATATGTGTGCCACAGCAATGCGTGGTCATGTCTGCTAGTATATACTAATATTATGAGGAGGCAGAGTTTGTTTGTTTGTTTGTTTGTTTGAATGCGCTTATCTCAGCAAGTACTAATCCGAATTGACATTTTTTTTTGCATTAAATAGCGCGTTTATTGAGGAAAACTATAAACTACGAGTATATCATATAATATATAGTCTATTCCATATTAACCGTCAAAACGTACCTATGGACGAGGACGTGAGACGCTAGTATTAATAGGTATAAGTATAGGTATAGTATACGTAGAGTGAGAACTAGCCAGATAAACTTAAATATTTTAATAAATATTTCTAAAAACCATAGTCCAATTTAGTGTTAACTAGATTCTATACAACCATTTAACAATGTTGCATAATCTAGGACTTTATTCTGGGCTTATAATAATAGCTACGTATGTACGAATGTTTACGATGCAGCTTTCGAGAAAAGGTTCTTAAAGAAGCGGATTGAAGCGTGATCATCGCTAATGTGCTCCCAGTTTTACAATCGCCTCGTAAAACGTTATTTAAACGCTTTTTTCCGAACGAGTATCGATCGTATATCGCGCAAGTTATTGCGGACTTTACAGCTTGTGACTGATTTTATGACCCCGTCAATTGCTACGGTGTTAGGGAACGGGAGCGGTGATTTCGGATTCCATGAATTGTTCGATTTGCCAATAAATGACATAGCCCTTTGGAAATCTTAATCGATAGGCACACCTCGATTCCTTTAACGTTTAAGGCGTTGGCAGCTTTTATATTGATCAACGATATTGGCAAAATTCTAAGTTTAAATTAAATGCTTTAATTTAAAGGAGTTTTTTTATAAATTATCTTTTGTGCTTGATAATAGTATTTTTATAAATGTAATTTTAATACAGAATATGCATATTTTATTATAGACTAGCGACTTACCCTCGCTTCGCTTGGATTCATCCCTAGATACGTTTTAATGGTTAGTATGGAATACATAGACTTTATATAATATATAGGTATGAATATACATATATAAAGTATCTTGATACAAACCCACACGGACAAACGCGTGGACGTTTGTTTTCTACCTATATAAGTATTATAATGTATATAAGTGTAAATATTTTTAATATCACTGAATATTGTATTGTATCTTTCGAGCTTCCTTGAGGTAGAGAAATAAAACAATATTTTTAGCGGGATCCTTTGATTTAATCTAGTTAGCGTATGTTACCTAGCCGATTTAATTTAAGGCTATCCAACACTTTTCGTATTTATGGCGCGGACATGATGGGCCTTACACGAATATCTAAATAATCATTATAAAAATTATCTGCCTTGCAAATTTCAACCCTCTTTGTCTCGATCATCATTATTTCCGATTTTTTTGCATTAATAACTTATTATACTTAATAAATAATTTCTTTAAAAATATCATAATTCGTTAAATTCATAATATTTTTCTAATATTATAAATTCGAAGGAGTGTTTTTAAATTGTCCTTTCTCAGATAGTAACGGAGCATCAGAACGGTGTGATTTTTTGCATAGACAAAATAGTTTATGGACCGTACAGGCTACCAAAAGGTTAGACATAGTTCTAGATATCAGGAAATCTGTTACAAAAAGGAACTTGGATTACTAAATAATATTGGATTACTAAAATTAATTATACCTATATAAAATTACTTTAAAATCATTTGGTGAACCGGATGAATGGTAATAAACATTATTTATATTATTATACCTTTATTTGTTATTTATTTGAGTTAAGAAAAAAAATCAAATCCTTTAAATGTCAATGTCAAAAATAAATCATTTTTTTGTGAGTTTTGCATACTTAAATTTGTAAGCAAGTTTATGAAAATAATGGATCGATGCCGTTGTGAAGAATATGCAGCTGCTGTGAGGAAGTTACGGTTGTATACTGTTGGTACTTTCAGACCTGATATTATCGATAAATATGATAGTAAGTATAAGCATATAATGCTAAACTATGTATCTAATAATATTGAGGAGTTTCCGTTGATATGTTAAGTATTTATAAATAGCGTCTCATATTAAACAATGAAGAATATGAAGTCATCTGCAGTTAAGATAGCTACTTTTAACAGACGGATAGGTATATGTATTAGGTGTAAAGTAATCTATATACATATAATAAAATTCTAACTAAGTCGAATCTGTATATTAAATATTTAATCTTATTGAAATAGACATTTTTATCGATACAGAGGCCGAATCTATAGTTTTTAGAATTTTTGTCTGTCTGTCTGTCTGTTACCGCATCACAGAAAAACTACTGGAGGGATTTTGATAAAATTTGGTATGATCATAGCAGCTGGTTATCCGGGTCAACATAAAGGATACTTTTTACCGCGGGAAAATATCATAAAGCCACGGTGATACTATATATATTTTAGGAAGGTAACTTACTAAATAAGGCAATAATTATTAAATATAGCTTATCTTGAAAACAAATAACTATTTTATTTATCTTGAAAATAAATAGCAATTTTTTTGGTTTTTGGTCATCTGAACGCGGGCGGTGACGCGGGCAATGCTAGTTTGAAACTAAATCGAAACTACAAATCCTTTCTCCAATAATAAACACTATGTCACTATATCCGTGTTAAGATATAATTCGACGAACGTAAGAACTTATATACTAACTACATTTATGTAGTTTTTAAATTGTGTTATTTTTTTATTAATAGTTTTTTATAGTTAAAGGACCTATTTAGTATAACAGTTTTAGGTAAGTATAAATTATTATTGACAGGATCAGGGTTTATAACAACATGGGTAAGACACGGAGTCGATTATGAAGACCTAAAGTTTTTAAAACCAAGAGCTACAAAGATCATTCAACCATCTAAACTACCAGAAAATTAGCACCACATCGTTTACGGCTTATATAAATGTAAACATTAATTAATACACATTACAGCTTATTACTTCATCATTATAAAAGTTATACCTATAACATATCTAAGAAGCTTCTGGAAGAGCTTTTGATGTTTAACGGTGATTGCGAAATCATCTGACATATAAACACATACATATGTCTATTCATAAGTCTTTTTTTTATTATGTTGCTTTAAATTGTCAAATTGCTTATAGTGTAGTGATGTATATATGTATAATCCATCAGTACTATCGATATTTATTATAAAGCTGAAGAGTTTGTTCTTTATTGTGTTTGACAGCACTAATCTCTAGAATTTAGATTATTGATAGGTCTCCGCGGCGCTCTAGAAGTACCAGTCAAACAGAAAATTCTCTTTGCATTTTAAAGCTTCATATTACGTTAAGATTCTTAGCAACAGAATAATTATAGACGAATAAATAACGCGAATGAAGTCACGGAAAAACATTAGTATTTAATAGTTTATGATCATTACCGACTTAGTTCATTAATTTGTAATATGGCTATTCCAGGTGTTATCAAGTTACATAACAAACGGTAAAGTTATTTGATTCGAGTTACGAAACGATGTTAAATCGTTTAATTGGTTTTTACTTAATCAATTAATATACTGTCACACGACGACAGTGGCTTTATTTAAATACTAGCGACTTACCCTCGATTTGCTCGGGTTCATCCCTAGGTTGATTCCCCATACAAACTTTTATCCTCATTTTCACTCCCTTAAGGAATAATTTACGGGATAAAAAATATCCTATGTCCGTCCTAGGGTCTCAAATGAACTGCTTACGAAATTTCATCTAAATCGGTTCAGTAGATCCAGAGATTATCCTCTACAAGCACAAAAACTCACAAACTTTATAATATTAGTATAGATATCAGCCAGTAAAATTATTCAAAATATATAAATTTAAATCATAGTAGAGAAAGCATCTTACAAGTTGACGTGACGTTTATCTTTTAAAAGTGATAACATCACAAGCTACTGTGCTAGATATCATCGAGATTGAGTGTTGGATAAAATGTTTTACAAATTTAAGAGAAAAACAATAAAAAAACCGTAAGATAAAACAGTTACATATTTATGTGTTGATATGTATAGATAGAAAATATTATCGAGATTTATTCCTCACTATTCATTTGATGGTTCGACAGATTTTAAAAGGCGGAAGGGAAGTAGAGAAATACCTACTGTATTTGTCTATAGTTTTTTGTGTAGGATACTTGATAGCATAGTTAATTATGAGTTGATTTTCATCATTCTTTTGGTAATAGACTAGGCCTTAAGGGTTCATTAGCGTCCGGCAATCCAGCTAGGCGTGAAACCAAGAGGCACAGTGGGTAGTGGCCCACTTCGATGGGCGTGTGTCATGTGGGTTGCTCCTGGTACTTCTCTGACAGTAGAGTGGACCGTGGGAGCAATCACTTGGTTGCGTGGTCTGCTTCGGCAGACCTGTCGTCAGGGCATCGTGGTTGAGTGTGTAAGCGATGCTGTGACGCCCCATTAAGACAAGGGAGTTTCCGTTGAACTTTAGTGAGTAGTACTGGCTTTTCTAGCCGGCGAGTCCCACATAATTACGTGTATTTATAAGTGGTAACCGTAAATGCCTTTTTCAACATTAAAAAAAAAGCCTTAAGGGTTAAGCTTCGAATAAGCAAGCCATATTATGCCGTTACAAAATAGTTTATATATAAGTACATACATATGTTACATAATATGTCGCATTAAGTCCAGTCCATACTAAAGTAAATAAAATATAAAATATAATTTTTAAGCGGGCAATTTTTGATTTTTCGCTGACTCTTCTCAACAGAACCACCTTTGAAGCCGTCGCGCTAGTAGATTTGCGTAGGTCACGGCCTTACAAAACTGACAACTGTTTATTGACGATTCAAAAATATTTTAAAAAATAAATTTTGATTTTTATTCAGTTGGTCTAATAAATTGAAAGTTTTTATAAATTAAAATTAGCATTGCCCGCGGCTCCGGCCGCGTTCAGATGACCAAAAACCAAATTATTAGCTTTTACATATTTGTATACTCTTTCATTGCTGTTTTTGTATTTTTTCTCAGAAATGACACATTTTCCTGCGGTAAAAAGTATCCTAAATGTTGACCCGGATAACCAGCTATCACCATACCAAATTTCATCAAAATCCATCCAGTTGTTTTTCTGTGATGCGGTGACAGACAGACAGACAGACAAAAAATCTAAAAACTATAGATTCGGCTTCTGTATCGATAATAATGTTTATTTCAATAAGATTTTCCAAAAAACATTTAATGTACAGATTCGGCTTACTTACAATTTTATTATATGTATAGATTAGAAGAAAGTTTAAACTGCATGTTCTACACGCTTTCATATGAAAGGTCATACACTAAATAGAAAAAAACACACGCAAGCGAAATCGTAGGTAGTAATTTATAATACGCGTTGATTTGAAGACAAATTAGTTCACCGTGTAATCCTATTCAAAAACTTAATTAAAAGATCTCATTACTCAGATGGATGGCGATAAAATCTTAACGGCCGCGTTCGCAAAAACTTGCTAATATTTTAATTATAATGAACAGAGAACTTGTGCTACAATTCTTAAAGGTTACTAAGCTTTGTTTTAGCATTTAACTTTAAAAAAACATCAATTATACTACAAAATATACAGACACAATTATAAATAATTCAAAGCTATTTTATTTAAATAATTTAAGTATTATAATTTCTAACAAGTAGCTACATCTCGTACTAAACTTGTCTAAAACGAGTTAGCTTAACTTATAATATTACTGCAATGATTGTTAATAGGTATTTTACGTCAGTAATTTTAATAATAATAATAATGAACACTTTATTGCACACCACACAAGAAAATAAATAAAGAAGTGAAATACATAACAATAAAAAGATGCACAGCAGGCGGCCTTATCGCTAACAAGCGATCTCTTCCAGGCAACCTTTAGGGTAGAGGAAATCAGTATATAAAAAATGGTAGGCGGTGTTTTTTTCTGTACTTGTATAAATACATACTTATACACATACATATATACATACATAAATACATACATACATACATACATACATACATACATACATACATACATACATACATACATACATACATAAATACATACACAAATACATACATACAAACATATATGCATACAAGTAGTATAATAGAAAAATATAATCAGTATTTAAGTTACGTATTTCAAATAAATACATATAAGATACATACAATATCAAATATATTGTACATAATATATTATAGTAAGACCAACTAAAGAGATAATTTTATTATATTACTAGCGGCTCACATCGCTTCGCTCGGGTTCGCCTCTAGGAGAACCCACGGGAACGGCACATTTTTCCGGGATAAAAAGTAGCCTATGTCTTATTCCAGACTATAATCTATCTTTGTGCCATCTTATTTCATGCACATCCGTTCAGCCATTCTGGCGTGAAAGAGTAATAAAAACTTTTTAACAAAAAAATAAAAACCGACTTCAAACAAAAGCACTAAAAAGTAAAAAATAACTGATTGGTAGTTTTCATTTACTATACATACCTAATCAAATATTTTCGAAGTCGGTGTGCTTTGCTTTGTATGGGCTGGCACCGATTTCGAAAATATTTGATTAGGTATGTATTTAATAGGTAGGCATGTTTAATTACTTAGCCAAAGCACACCGACTTCGAAAATATTTGATTAGGTATGTTATAGTAAATGAAAACTACCAATTAGTTATTTTTTACTTTTTAGTGCTTTTGTTTTTTGGGAAGTCGGTTTTTATTTTTTTGTTGTAAAAAGTTTTTATTTTTCCCTTTTTTAGTGTAGACAGTAGTAGCAAAGTAAGGATTCTAACGTGTTAGGCTTGTCAAAATCAAACAAAATAAGCCCAAACTCAAAGTATCTACTATTAGCCGTGTTTGAAGAGTTTTCCACCTATCCACCTTCTGGCCTTGCCATCAGAGATCAGGTCAACAAACACCCGAACCACTGTACTATCAACGGAAATAGAAATACTTGTGTAAAAGTTTCAAGTCAATATGACAATTAGAAGTAGGTTAAATTCATCATTAGTTGTTTTTCCACCCTTAGGGGTGGTATTTTTTTTTGAAATTTAAATGGGACCAATCTGGAAGTATACCCTTTCAAACAAAACCAAAATTGTCCAAATCGGTTAATAAATGACGGAGTTCTGAGTTAACAAACATAAAAAAAAAAACATACAGTCGAATTGAGAACCTCCTCCTTTTTGAAGTCGGTTGAAAAACATCCATACCTACTCACAAACTTTCACATTTTAGTAAAGATATAGATTTTCAGTATCAATTTTTTGTTTAATCACCTAAGACTTAGATTCGATAAGAATATTCCAAGGTAAATGAAATCATTAAAAATAAAAATAAATAATGATATAATTCGATCAGAATGCATCACTGACCCGACTTTTTGACAACATTTAACGTTTCAATGAGTTTCAATGATTCAAAATATTATAACTCTGGTAATAAAGTGGTAAAAAATAAGGCAATGGTAGTCCAGTGGTAACGCGCTCGCTTGGGAAACCGAGTGATGCGGGTTCAAATCTCGGGTCTAGCACCTCTGACATTTTCATGTGCGAATCATTTCCAACTGTGGTCGACTATGGCATGATCCCCTTTGTATTGAGAGAAGGCCCGTGCCCAACAGTGAGACGTTACAAAAGGGATGAATATATAATAACAGTGTTACTAGCGAGTTGTGGCTTATATCGAACGTATAGATAACAATTAAATACCAATGTTTACTTACTTTATAATTGACTTTATAAATGCAAAAGTTTGATGTTTGGTCAGTCCTACATTTACACAGCAACCAATAAATTTACTTTCTTTCAGAGGACGACATATGTAGGTTATTTAACCGAGTTCATATTAAGTGATCATGTATATACGTACTATTACCGAAATATTTATTG